AGAGACAGAGACAGAGAGAGACAACAGGAGGAAATTGTTGGGGACTATTTTCAGCAGCGGATTGATCCACGTTTGGTTTTCCAGTGACGGTTTTTAACGTCAGGGTCAATCATGAATGTCTTTATTATAAAATATAACGTATGAAAACTTTATTGTAAACATCATCCATCCGTGTCGACCCGGTGGCGTTCTGCTACGAAGCTGCTGCAGTTTTGTGTTAATCAGACATAAATAGTTAAATGGACAGTGGGGGGGCGGGACACTACTGGACTAGGTTTGTGTTAATCGGACGAACCTACATCTTTCATGTTTTATTTAAAGTGACATGAACTTGGTGAGTTAATTTTCCTGATTCAGTACGTTAACAGAGGAAGAAGATACTGAGACCTTCAGAACCAGAATACCAGCGGTAACGGTCCTGTGTGCTTGTTTTATTGTCAGCCTGTTCAGAAGAGCACAGGAGCAAAGGAGGAAAAGGACGGGGTCAAAGGTCAACTGACCTCGAAGAAGAAGTCTCTTAAAGAGAAATCAGAAGCCGAGCAGAAGCTGGAGAACAGGTGAGTTCATCCACAGAGCTTTGTTTTAGTACGTAATGTTATTGTTTCTGAAGGTTTTACCTGTGAAATCGGGTTCCTCTTCGTTTTCAGGGAGATCGGTTTACTGAACGCCGACGGGGACGAGGAAACGCCCGGGGGGAAGAAGAAGAAGAAGAGGAAAGCTCCGGAGCCGAGCGGAGAGAACGACGTGGAGCAGTGGGTGATGAAGAGACAGAGGCTGAGAGCCAGGAAGGAGGAGGAGGCGACGAAGAGGAAGAGGACGGTGTTCGTGGGGAACCTGCCCGTCGGCTGCACCAAGAAGGTACAGAACCAAAGTAATGAACCCAGAAACATCAGAGTCCGCCGCGCAGAGACAAGACATTTTAAAACATCGAACCTGATTTGTTAACAGTTGATTCCAGTGAATGTTGGAGAGGAAGAACTTTATGGTGTATTTGTGTTTTTCAGACGCTGCAGAGCCTCTTCAGGGATAAAGGATCCATCGACTCCATCCGGTTTCGCTCAGTGGTAAAACAAACGCACAGCTTCAGCTCGTACTGCTCGCTGTTAAACAAACACTGAATAAATAACTGTTAATCACAAAACTCATCTTGGCTGCAGAAACTTGTGATGGCTACTCGTCATTTCAATCAATAAAACACTAGTTACCAACCTTTTCCCTTCAGAAACCTCTTTTAGTTTCATTTAGTGAACGGACTCAGGGACATTCTTTATGGATTTCATATTAATCAATAACCCAAATAATTACTTCTTTTCTGACAAATCGGAAGTTTTCTTGTCCCGGACACTTGCCCATTGTTCTATTAGACAATTTACTTTACATCACAAAAGTGAACAAAATGCTGTTTTCCTTTAGTTCTCTTCCAAACCTTAAAGTCAAGAAGGCCTCTCGACCCCCCCATGAAGCTTTGGTGACCCTTAATGTTTGAGAACCACTGTGATAAAGAATCATTGAGGAGGGAAAAAGAAGCTCTCTCTCTCTCTCTCTGTAACTATCTTTGCTATCGGTCAGTGGCACACATTCACATCAGAGTTGGTCTTGTCCTCTGATCCCTGCAGGTCAGAGAGGATCCCTCCATGTCCCGCAAAGTCGCAGTCATTCAGTAAGTTTCTGCCCGTTCTGTTTAAGAGTCGCTGGAACTGACGAACCAAATGCTTCAACTCTACGTGGTGTTTTCTTCTTTACAGGCGCAAAGTTCATCCCAAAAAGCAAAGCATGAACGCCTACGTGGTGTTTAAAGACGAGGAAGGAGTCACGAGGGCGCTGGAGAGGTCAGACCTTCAGTAACTGAATTCCACAAACAGGAAGTGGCCCTGTGAGTTTACCCGTCAGTGAAGCTGATGTTCTGTTTGTCTGCTCACAGGAACGGCACGGAGATCGAGAAAGACTTTCACATCCGAGTGGACAGAGTGACGGACAACTCAACAGTGAGTCTCCGGTCATAAAGTGTTTCTATCACATCTGTCTGTTTAATGTCTCCTGTATTCCAGCGTCTGTCCAACAGTCACAGAAAAGTCCTGTTTTAGGTATTTTCAGGTTTTTCTTAATGGACAGAAAGCTTTTAGCTCAGTCAGCAATCTAACTGACTCAGTCCCGGAACAAAACCACCTCGGTACTGTAATCCCTGTCAGACCGGCACCGTCGGTCTCAGAGATTAGATCCCGGGTCCGGCTGTGTTCAGGTAGACGCTGACGCAGGCTCAGCTCTGTTTACTGCTGCCTGTTGTTACAGTAAACGCATTAATTTAACATCTGTTGACAGTTTTTGTTCTATTTGGTGACGACGTTGTTGTTGTTGTTGTTGTTGTCGTCTTGCAGCACGATCACAAACGCTCCGTATTTGTGGGGAATCTCTCGTTCGGTGAGTAACTTCGGTGCTAACGTTGATGAGTGTAAATGTCGTTCTGTGTTGACGTTAACCGACTCTTCTTCCTTTAGAGATCAACGAACTGGCTTTCCGGCAGCATTTTGAGCAGTGCGGCGCCGTGGAGGCTGTACGGCTGGTACGAGACCAGAACTCCGGACTGGGGAAAGGATTCGGCTACGTCCTGTTCAAGGTACTCAAATCCTGCTTTCCTCTTTAGCTCGAGTCCTCGAGGAGCTGTGACCTTCGACCTCCACGTTATCATTACATTAACACTGTACTAAACCTGTTGGTACCCGTTTGTTGCAGAGCCCCGACTCGGTGCAGCTGGCGTTGGAACTGGACGGCTCCAAACTGGAGGGCAGGTCCATCCGAGTGAAGAGGTCGGTGAAGAAGGAGAAGCAGAAGAAGAGTAAAAGTGACAGCAAAGGAGGCGCAGGGAGGGCCGGCGGCAGGGGCCCCGGCAAGACCCCCCCGAAGGGCCCGGGGCGCGAGAGAGGAGGCGGTCGCGGAGGTTTCAAGCCTCAAAATAAATTCTCGGGACCCCAGCAGAGGACGACCAAAGGCTCCTTCAAAGGAACGATGGTGGATCCAAACAAAAAGACTAAAAAGAAAGGACTGAAGAAGAAACAGAAGCCAAACAAGACTGTTCACATCTGAGCGACATTTTACAGAAATAAAAGTGTTTGAGGACTCTGAACCGAACAGCAGGTTTCAACTGTTCCACCGTCAGTTACTTGTTCTCTGTAAACTGTTTTCTACCACAGCAGCAAAACTCAATAAAAAATACACAACTTTTTATCTTTCTGTGGATTATATTGTGATAGATAGATAGATAGA